CTCAGAAATATTTATCTTAATTAAATTTTTGTGCAATCAATATGTCAGGTTTATGTTTTATTATATGTATCAGTGACCTGACCAATAGTGGATTAAATTATAAAGGCTTTATTTACTTCTGTGTTTGTTTGCTATAACAGTGAGTCTGAATGCATGAAATCCAGGGTAGGTGTGATGATGCTATAGTTCTCTTTCCACACTCTTGCTCTTGTCCTTCTGGTCTACCATCTGTAGCTTGTTGCTGTCATCTTTGTGTGTATAAGATGGCCACTACAACCTTAGGCAAGGGTTTTACTCTCCAGGAAGGACAGAGTGGAAGAATGAAGGAGTAAGGGATAGTGATTATGTATAAACTGTGTTACATCGCAAGGGGGTCTGGGAAATACAGATAATTTAGCTGAGCATCTCGCTTCTCTGAACAAAACTGGGGTTCTCTTACGAAGTAAGAATAGATCCAAGGTAGACAATTAGTTGTGACTGCCACAGTAACAAAACAATTTAAAATGTACATTCATGAGCTTGTGACATTCATGATCTTTTGTTCTCATAAAACGCTTGGAATTTTCCTATTAATATTATTTATTTGTGGAACATTAGTTTTGTTGATAGCTAGCAAGGAAGTAATCTCAAATATTGAAGGTTTAAGAAGTATGTGAAAAAACTTTTAAAATGAGAAAACTCTTGACATTGACTTTTTTTCCCCCTTGCAAATGAGAAAATGAAATTCTTATTTGATTTTTTTTTTTTTAAAGATTTTATTTATTTATTTGACAGACAGAAATTACAAGTAGGCAGAGAGAGAGGAGGAAGCAGGCTCCCCGCAGAGCAGAGAGCCTGATGTGAGGCTCGATCCCAGGACCCTGAGACCATGACCTGAGCCGAAAGCAGAGGTTTAACCCACTGAGCCACCCAGGCGCCCCTCTTATTTGATTTTAATGAAGGTACACTTCAGGACACCCGTTTTCATAAGGGGCATGGTTAGGGAGCCACCAATATTATTATTTATGTGTACTGTTTATTTACTGTTTCTTTACTTTCACTGAACTTATTTTTCTAGATAAGAACATTCTCTTTCAGTATTACATGTTATGGGCAATGAAAACATTGTTTTTATTTATTTTTTTTTTTAAGATTTTATTTGAGAGAGAGAGAAAGTGCATGTGTGCCTGTGTGTGAGCTGGGGAAGGGGCAGAGGGAGGGGGAGAAGTAGACTCCCCACTGAGCAGGGAGCCCCACGTGGGGCTTGATCGTAGGACCCCAAGATCATGATGTTTACTTAAGGCAGGTGCTTAACCGACTGAGCCACCCAGGTGCCCCTAAAACATTCTTTTTTTTTTTTTTTAAAGATTTTATTTATTTGACAGAGATCACAAGTAGGCAGAGAGAGAGGAGGAAGCAGGCTCCCTGCTGAGCAGAGAGCCCCATGTGGGGCTCGATCCCAGGCCCCTGAGATCATGACCTGAGCTGAAGGCAGAGGCTTTAACCCACTGAGCCACCCAGGTGCCCCCTTAAAACGCTCTTTACTTTTAAATGTTGTTTCTAAATTCTGTATAGTGATCCTATGTTTGTTTTTTTAATCCTATATCAGTTTTATAATCAGCCAAAAAGTTTTATTAATTTTTCAAAGTCAAAGCGAGTCTTGCCATCATTGACACTGCATCGTCTGCTTCAAATCCATTTTTATCTCCTACTTCTTGAAATTCCTAGAGCAATCATAGCATGTACAACAGCATTTTCTCCTTATAGACTATCTTGAATTCATCACTAATTGTTCCATATGTTAGCAAGATCATAGGCTCTCTGTTATTTATTTTTCCGCGTGTCCCAATTTCTTAGCATAGTATTAGATATATAGTAGATACTTGTTTCCTGATCAACTAAATAATCACATTTAACACATTAATACACATGAAAATAGTGTGAATTTAATAACTGGATAGGCATAAAATAAGTCATGACTAATAACCAGTGTAATCAGAATTTCATGACTTTTACTCTTACCTATTAATGTAGAACTGCTAGCTCCCCCAAATTGCCCCCCAAATTGTTTATTCTTGGAGTCACCAAAGGGTGTTTCATGTGGGCTCACTAATGTATTCTGGCCACTGCCACATAGCACGTCTTTTTCTTCTGCCATGTTTGCTGTCCCTAGATAACAGAGGGGTATCTCTGTGCCTGATTATCTCCTTGGCCTTGAGCTGTCCTGCCGGGTATAATGCTGAGCTGGGGCTGTTGAGGTATCCCAGCCTCTTTTCTCCCCCACTATTATAACTTGTTGTGTGGACATCAAAGCAGAGCTCTTTAATCTTGTTGCTTCAAAGCTTTCAGTGAAAGCTGTTATTTAGTTTCTCACTGTAGCTCTGCTGCTATGATGAGCTCTTGGGTCTGGGCTGGGGGAGCAGTCCAGGTGATAGACACCAACCAACCTGTGCATGTGACCATTCCTCCTGTTAAAGCTTTGGTTATTGTGCCAAGCTTCTCTGTCTCTCTTTAGTAAGCGTGATTATTGTCCCAAAATGTTTCTTAGTGTTACCTCATGCAAACAGATGCTTTGAAAAACCCTCAGTCTCCGGAGATAGGTGAATCTTAGTGGCAGGGATGATTTCGGTTCTAAACTGCAATCCCATTGTACTTTAAAAATACAATAGGTAAAACATACCTCAAAGAATCTCAAGCCCAAGTCACAAGTCAGAGCAGCTCAGAGCATGATCTTGGCCCAGAAGTAGAATAAAAACTTTACTTTTTCTTGTTTTATATGTCTGATTCTGTTGGAACCCAGTGTGAACTTTAAGGCTACAAAGGAGGAGAAATGCACTAAATTTTATTTCTTGAATTGTACATTTGTTTTTATTTCAACCCCTAAAATTGGCTATGCCTATGGTTGAACAAAGATATTATGCACTCTTATTCTCTTCTCCCGAGCAGTTCTTTATTAATACTTAGTTAATCTTCCTTGAGTTTCAAGATGTACATACATTAGACAGTAATTGGAACTGGACCTTGTGTAAGTTCCTAGTAGGACTGTAGGTAGATAGAAGGAAAAAAGCAAACTCCATGCTTGGGATTGAGCCTTAAGTGCTAATGCAAGGCATCAAGGGGGAGAAGGATGCCTGGGCAGAAATTGGGAGATAGGGGAAACCAAGAGCATAGAGCCTCCCTAGCCAAATGGCCAAGGTGAAAGGAATAAAAAAAATGAGTATCTGCCTGAAATAGTTTGTGAAACAATGAGAACAACAAAATAACTCTAATAGTTTCATGTTGCCTTTCAGCTCTTGTCTTTTTTTTTTTCCCCCAAACACTTGAGTTTCATTTAATGAAAAGAAAAATTTTGTAAACTATAGTTACATAGATGTATCCTTCACCCAGTGCAGTGCTTGGTTGAGAGTGGTTATTCAGATAATTACCTTTTTTTTTTTTTTTAAAGATTTTATTTATTTATTTGACAGAGATCCCAAGTAGGCAGAGAGGCAGGCAGAGAGAGAGAGAGGAGGAAGCAGGCTCTCTGCTGAGCAGAGAGCCCGATGCGGGACTCAATCCCAGGACCCTGAGACTATGCATGACCTGAGTTGAAGGCAGAGGCTTAACCCACTGAGCCACCCAGGTGCCCCCAGATAATTACTGTTGACTCAACTCCCTGGGTATTTAGGTACTTGACTGCCAGTCCCTCAGAGGGTCAGCTAGGAGGAGTAGGAGACCCAAGATACCATGGTAGAGCAGTGAGAACAAATGCGGGCAGAGAGGCAAAGAAATGTTACTAGTCACTAGATACAGAACCTTCTTGACTCAGTCCAGTGGGTCCTGCTTTGAAATCTAGAACTAGAAAACAATCAGGGATGCGGGATTGCTGGAGAAATGTTCCCTGAGATCTGTTTGCCAAGACCTCATCATGATCCTGGGCTGTAGGAAAGTTTGTGCCCTCCCTGGAGTCCCTCAGCTACTGAGCGACACGGTCAGAAGCTAACTCAGGCCTTCCTGTTCCCACACATTTGTTCACCTCTACAATGGGCTAGGTTTTTTTTAAACAATCATTTGTTTCTTCTTTGCTATTGTTGCTGTCATTTTATTGTTTGTTGTTATCTCTCTCATTCCAGATAGGGTGGATATAAAAATTGCCTTATAGTGGTTTTCACTCAATTCAGTGTGATTCTAGAAAGCTTAATTTGGTAGTTCCAGAGCAAGACCAGTGGTCTTGGTGCAGGAATGAAATGACCACAGGATGCTAGTATTGTTGATTGGCTCTGCTTCCTGTGAGAGTAGAATTAAATGAGTCATTTAAAAATTTTAAGAGTACTATTTTTAATTCTGTGCACGCAGATGCTCCATATATATCTATTATATGAAATGCAAGTTTACTTTATAATTTTTTTGTAATTAAAATAATCTTGTCTAGAGTGAGTTATGATCATCTGAAATTTATTTGGGTATCAAAAGGATTAAGATTTCTTTTAATTATTCTTATTTGTTCTCCTTAAAAGTAGAAAGTAGAAAATAGATTTAAAAGTAGAAAATAGATTTAAAAGTAGAAAAATAGATTTAATCTAAGGGCTTGCCTGGCTGGCTCAGCCAGTGGAGCACGCAACTCTTGATTTGAGGGTCATGTGTTCAAGCAGCATATTGGATATAGAGATTATTTTTTAAAAAATCTATAAAGAAGAAAAAAGATAATCTAAGATAATAAGACAATAGTAGGAAAGCTGTCTTAAGCTCTTGGCAGGCCAAATAGAAAAATTCTGTAGATTTACCTTTGGGAATTCTGTGAAATCTTGAAATTTTGAGTTTTATTTTGGTTTGAGTTATTATTAGGCATACTATTCTCTGCAAGATTCTCCTTGGGGAATTCTGAACATTTTGTGTCCTATGGGACTTGATTTTTGTATGTTAGGTCTTATTATTATACTTGTGAATGAGGTGATGAACACATTTTAAGGTTTTTTCCCCCTTTTATATATGTGCATTTGAGTACAAGATGACATAAAACATTTTTTTCCCTTCTTTTTCAGAATTAAATGTGAGGGAGTCTGATGTAAGAGTTTGTGATGAGTCGTCATGTAAATATGGAGGAGTGTGTAAAGAAGATGGAGACAGTTTGAAATGTGCATGTCAATTTCAGGTGAGGAAACCAAATCTACTTTGAAAAATTTTTACATTTTTAATATTTTATTGTTCTGCATTCTTCAAATTAAAAAGCTTAAAAAACCTTGAACCCTGAAAGAAGTTGGGTTCACAGCCCATTGATTTTTCTTTTGTCAGATGAAGTACTATTATTTCTACCTTCCATGCTTCTTTTCTTGAGTTAAGAGGACAGATTGGCAATAATAGGTGAGAAGATGATTTGAAAAAATATTAAAGTTCTATTCAAATGTAAGTTCTAATTGTTACTAAAAGGAAATGAATCTCTTATTTAAAATATTGATGTTTGGCGGGGGCACCTGGGTGGCTCAGTTGATTGAACGTCTGACTCTTGATTTCAGTTCAGAAATCCTTAAAGACTCCTTATAGACTATATTGAATCATGATCTCAGGATCATGGGATTGAGAGCCCCATGTTGGGCTCCATGCATGCTCAGCAGGGAGTCTGCTTGAGATTCTCTCCTTCTGCCCAACAGCCCCCCACTGCCCCATTGGCTTTTTTCCCCTTTCCTTCTTTTGTAGTTTTTTCCTCATCCATTAAATTTATTTTTTACATTTTTTATTCTTTTTTTTTTTTTAAGATTTTATTTATTTATTTGACAGACACGAATCACAAGTAGGCAGAGAGGCAGGCAGAGGGGGAGGGGGAAGCAGGCTCCCCACTGAGCAGGGAGCCTGATGCGGGGCTTGATCCCAGGACCCAGAGATCATGACCTGAGTTGAAGGCAGAGGCTTAACCCACTGAGCCACTCAGGTGCCCCTAAATTTTTTATTCTTTTTTTTACGTTAATTTAATTTATTTGAGAGAGAGAGAGTGAGCTCATAGGCAGGGGGAGCAGCAGAGGGAGAAGGAGAAGCATGCCTCCCGGTGAGCATGGAACCCGATGGGGAGCTTGATCCCAGCATCCTGGGATCATGACCTGAGCCAAAGGCAGATACTTAGCTGACTGAGCAACCTAGGCACCCCTAAATTTTTTTTTTTTAAAGTATAGTTGACCTACAATGTTACATTAGTTTCAGGTATACAACATGGTGATTCAATTTCTTTATGAGTTATGATCTTCCCTTCCATTTTTATTTGCTAGTGTCTCATTTTTTTAGGCCAAAGAACATGGCTGACTTGGTGCCTCAGGATAGGCCAGGGTTAGAGATAAACTAGACAGGGAAACCTCAAACTAACATCTTCGCTTTTCAGATGCTCTTTTAAGTTGTAATTGTGTTTCTTAAAACAAAACAAAAAACTAAAGAGAAAGGATGTGAAATGTGTTAAATTCAATTTTTCTTTTTTTATTTGCTGTGATTAAATTATCTGGCTTCAGAATATTGTTCAGGATCTGGTGCCTGATTCAGAATTTGAGACGAAACAAACTGAAATTTTTCCCACTCGTGATCTTATTCTAATTGTACCCACCATTTTGGATTTTAAGAGAAGGAAATGGTACAGAGATTAGGGACAAAAGCATAGGACAGTCAGTATTTCTAGTAACCCTGTAACGTCAGGAAGTTCGTGTATGATCCATCTGAAAAAGAGAAGGCACGTTTTCTCTCCTTTTTTATGATACTGTAATGAGAATCAGAATCAGAGAGCTTGTATATGAAATCTCTTTGAAAACTATAAACTATCAGAGGAAGAGTAGGGGCTTACACTATTGTCTATCTGGACAAGCTCTTCATAGTCAAAAGAGACTTTATAATCCACTGTTACTGACAGTAGTCACCTTTGACATGGCTTCAGCTGCCTTGTGCCCACCCCTGCATGGTTACTCATGCAGTGAATGTTCTGGCTGTGTTGTGTCTGGCTTCCCTGCCTGCACCCCAGATCCTCATAAAAGGGATAACAGCTAAAGCGGGCTTCTTTCCTTAAAAGAAGTTATTGGTGTACATAATGTAACTCAGCCCTCATGGAGTTTTCTTGTTTCTGTTCTTCACATTAATTTTTTATGATCTATCTTCAGGTTCCCTAATCCCTTCTTTTGTCCTCTCCATTCAGTCTATCCAGTGAGTTTTTATTTTTAGATTTTTTTTTGGTGGGGGGAGGGGCTGGGGGCGCAGAGAAAGGGAAGAGAGAGAGAGAGAGAATCTTAAGCAGGCTCCACACCCAGTGCAGAGCCCAGATGTGGGGCTTGATCCCATAACCCTGAGATCATGACTTGAGCTGAAATCAAGAGCTTGGTTGCTTAACTGAGTCACCCAGGCACCTCTCAGATATTTTATTTCTAGATTTTATAGTTTTTTTTTTTAAAGATTTTATTTATTTATTTGACAGAGATCACAAGTAGGCAGAAAGGCAGGCAGAGAAAGAGGAAGGGAAGCAGGCTCCCTGCTGAGCAGAGAGCCGGAGGTAGGGCTCGATCCCAGGACCCTGAGATCATGACCGGAGCCGAAGGCAGAGGCTTTAACCCACTGAGCCACCCAGGCACCCCTAGACTTTATAGTTTTGATTTTTTGGTAAGATTTTAAAATTTATTTTAGAGAGAAAACAATGGTTGGTGGGAGGGCCAGAGAGAGAGGGAGAGAGAATCTCAAGCAGACTCTGCACTGAGCGTGGAGCCTGATGCAGGACTCAAACTTATGACGCTAAGATCATGACCTGAGCTGAAACCAAGAGTCAGATGCTCAGCTGACTGTGCCACCCAGGCACCCCTCTAGTTTTGATTTCTTGACTGAGATTTCCTGTCTTTTTGTTTATTACAAGCATAGTTTCCTTGAGTATAGATACTATTGCTGCTTTAAAATCTTTGCTACTTTCATCTGAAACATCTCAGGGATCATCTCTGTTGATTTTTCATTTAAGAATGGATTGTGTTTTCCTTTTTCCTTGTATTAGAGTAATTTTGAATTTATACTAACATGTCAGTGATATGTTTTAGTGTTTGAATTCTGTCATGTTCCTCTGAAGAGTATTGTTATTTTTGAAACCGTTAAGTTGGCTGAGCTCAAACTACAGAATGCTGTATCCCTGTTGTGGGAAGCAACACAAATATTAATTCATTACTTTTAACCTTAGCTGGGCTACTTGGAATATATCCCATGAGTGGTTTGGGAGTCAGCCAGAAATTTGATAGGAATTTATATACAGAATCTCAGAGTCCCTTCTGACTCTCTCCTTTCTGGGGTTTTCTCTCTTTTTAGTGGCTCTGAGGTTGCCTTGAACTCTGTCCTTTGGTTTTTAAGCCAGAAAGATTATGGGTTTCTTATTGGTGTTTTAGTCAACCTCTGTATTGGGAAGACTGAAGCTGTTCCCTCTTCCAACAGTCTTATATTTCTCTAGGTTAAATTCTTTGATGTGGAATTGTTGAGCAGTGGGATGCTCATGGGTAGATAACATTCTCACCAATAGCAATCAGTATATCTGATGTGCTTGTTTTCCCTTGGCCTCCTGATAGTGGATTTTTGTTAATCCCTTTAAATTTTGTGAATCTGTAAGGAAAAAATTTTTAAAAAAAAATTTTCATTTTTTGGGATGCCTGGGTGGCTCAGTGGGTTAAGACCTCTGCCTTTGGCTCAGGTCATGATCCCAGGGTCCTGGGATCAAGCCTCATATCGGGCTCTCTGCTCAGCAGGGAGCCTGCTTCCCCCCACCCCCACCCCCTCCTGCCTCTCTGCCTACTTGTGATGTCTGTCTGTCAAATAAATAAAATCTTTAAAAAATTTTTCATTTGATTATTAGAGAAATTGAAAATGTGCCATATATTGGCCATTTTTTTTGTGAATCAATATTTCATAATCTTTGCCCATTTTTTGGAGTATTTTCTTTTTCCCTTGTATGATTTGTAGACATATGTATGTATGTGAGTATGAATGTGTGGATACTATATAAGAGTGTACTATTTGAATATTTATATATTGCTTATGCTGAGCATTATATCCATTAATGGTTCTAAATATATACACACATATATACATATATATATATTCCTCTATAACTCATAAACTCTTATGAGAACCTGTGATGTAGGTACTGTTGTTACGTTTTTTAAAAGAATACTATGCCCATATTAAACAACTTGAACATTATATAAGAAGATCTATAATATATTGAAAAAATGGGGGAGCCTGGGTGGCTCAGTGGGTTAAGCCTCTGCCTTCAGCTCAGGTCATGATCTCAGGGTCCTGGGATCGAGCCCCGCATTGGGCTCCTTGCTCAGTGGGGAGCCTGCTTCTCTCTCTGCCTCTGCCTGCCTCTCTGCCTGCTTGTGATCTCTGTCTCTCTCTCTCTCTGTCAAATAAATAAATAAAATCTTTAAAAAAAAAGAAAAGAAAAAATGTCTTCCTTTCACTCCAGATTACTAATTGCTCTTCTCAAAGGCAACATGTGTTACTTTGTATTACCTTCTAGAAATATTATGTGTTATACAAGTGTATGTAGTTGATCTTGAACCCCACAGGCTTGAACTGTGTGGGTCTACTTATACATGGGTTTATTATAGTACAGTACTGTAAATATATTTTCTCTTTTATATGATTTTCTTTTTTTTTTTTAAGGTTTTTATTTATTCATTTGAGAGAGAGAGAGAAAGCACAAGCAAGGGGAGGGGTAGAGGGAGAAGCAGGTTCCCTGCTGAGCAGGGAGCACGATGTAGAACTCGATCTCAGGACCCTGGGACCATGACCTATACCAAAGGCAGATGCTTAACTGAGCCATCCAGGCAACCTCTTTATTCTTTCTTTCTTTCTATCCATCTATCTATATATCTATCTATTTAAAGATTTTATTCATTCATTTGTCAGAGAGAGAGAGCACAAGCAGGCAGAGTGGCAGGCAGAGGCAGAGAGAGAAGCAGGCTCCCTGCTAAGCAAGGAGCCCGATGCAGGACTCCATCCATCCCAGGACCCTGGGCTCATGACCCAAGCCGAAGGCAGCTGCTTAACCAACTGAGCTGCATGGGTGTCCCTTAGATGATTTTCTTAATACCATTTTCTTTTCTCTGGGGCACCTGGGTGGCTCAGTGGGTTAAAGCCTCTGCCTTCGGCTCAGGTCATGATCCCAGGGTCCTGAGATCGAGCCCTGCATTGGGCTCTCTGCTCAGCAGGGAGCCTGCTTCCTTCTCTCTCTCTGCCCGCCTCTCTGCCTACTTGTGATTTCTGTCTGTCAAATAAATAAATAATCTTAAAAAAAAATACCATTTTCTTTTCTCTAGCCTATTTTATTGTAAAAATACAACATATAATACATGTAACAAACCAAATATGTGTTAATTGACTATGTTATTGGTAAGGCTTCTTGTCAACAGTAGGTATTAAGATTTGGGAGAGTCAGGTTATGCATGAATTTTTGGAGCCAAATCCCCATGTTTAAGAGTCAATTGTAGGTGTTTTCATTTCTCTTTTCAGTACTAAATCACTCAAAATATTTGTCTTAGGTTCCTTTTTAGTTTATACAGATTACAAAAATGTTAAAGAAGTTAGTGTCATTTTCATTTTTAATAATTTTTTTTTAAAGATTTTATTTATTTATTTGACAGGGAGAGATCACAAAGCAGGCAGAGAGGCAGGCAGAGAGAGAGGAGGAAGCAGGCTCCTTGCTGAGCAGAGAGCCCGATGCGGGGCTCGATCCCAGGACCCTGAGATCATGACCCGAGCCGAAGGTAGCAGCTTAACCCACTGAGCCACCCAGGCGCCCCTTTAATAATTTTTGATATAAAGACATTTTGAATTTTCATATCGTATTTTTCTATTTTTGTTTTTAGGATTCTGCTTTTCATTAGCTGAAAGTCTTTCCCTGCAACTCTAAGATTATAAAAAGTAGCCTTTTGGACCTTTTTAAATGTATTTGGACAGCTAGAAAATCCTCTCATGATCTGTCTGAATCCCTAGCATTCTTACCTGGTGGCAAAGCAGGAAAGAGAAATAAAAGTTAGGAGTTGAGATCACTAGACATTTATCCAGTGCTTGCTTTGTGCTCAGTGCTAGACGCTGAGGATATAAAGATGTTTGAAGACAAGTTGCTTGCCCTGTAGGAGCAAACTGCCTAAGGGCTTACAGCCTGATTTGATCCTGCTGCTGAATGAACCTTCCTTTGACTACTCTGCCTCCTTATAATTTATAAATCTGTTCAAGTTAGAGTTAGGTTATTGCCAGCTGAAGAAAAATTACCTCGTATGTCCATTAAACACTTCTCTGCTGGGTGCTTTAGCAGTATCTTTCAATTCCATTTAAAAAACTTGCTTGTGATTCAGCATGCTTTTAGTGTTAATATGAGCTTTCTGGTATATAATTTAAACACATTTTAAAAGATAATAACAGGATTTTAAATAAAGTCTAAAATTGTTTTTTTCAGTCTGCTAATAAGAGCTATCACATAAACAAAGCAACTTTTATTTTGTACCGAGAAAAATGATCAAAATTGCATTTTTCCTTTAAAACGTGGGTTATGGGGGTAGCACAGCCAGCTTAGCATCTGACTCTTGGTTTTGGCTGAGGTCATTATCTCAGGGTCATGAGATTGAGCCCCATGTTTTGGTCCGTGCTAAGTGTGGAGTTGCTTAAGACTCTCTCCCTTTCCTTCTGCCCCTCCCACTTGTGCTCTCCCTCGCTTTCTCTCAAATAAATAAATCTGCAAACCGCCCCCCCCCCAGAAAACCCAGAACAAAACACTTGAGTTATGTACAGAGAGGAGGACCTATGACTATTACCCTTTTTTCTTTCTTCAAATTTGTTCTTCTCCCTGGAGTTCTCTGGATTATGTCTTTTTTCCTGAATTTATCAGTATCTGTTCTTGCTAGATGTCATGCCTTCTTATAAGATCTTTGTATTAGGGTTCTCCAGAGATATAGAACCAATAGGAAATATATATGGTATATGTATATGGGGGAGTATGGAGGGGGAGTGTTTATATTATAAGGGATTGGTTTGCTTGATTATGGAGGCTGAAAAGTCCCATGATCCACTCTTTGGAAGCTGGAGGTCCAGGAAAACTGGTAGTATAGTTCCGGTCCCAATCCGAAGGCCACAGAACCAGGAGAATACCCATGTCCCAAATCAGGCAGGGAGAGCCATTCTCCTTTCCTCCCCTTTTTTGTTCTACTTAGGCTCTCAGTGTATTGGATGATCCCACCAACATTGACTCAGTCCATTGATTCAAATGGAAATTCATCCAGAAAACTGTCATAGAGCATCCAGAAATAATATTGAATCTGGACACCCTGGGGCCTAGTCAGGATGGCACATAATATCGACCATCCCAACCTTGTTGTTACTCTCTTATTTATTATATTCAGCACAGTTCCTGACACACAGTAGGTACACAACAAATGCTTGCGTGGATGTGGCTCCAGAGCTATGCACTTTGCACCTTTCTGAATTACTTTGGATCATGTTCTTCCAGGTAAATAGAAGGTATAGGGGAGAGTTCTTTCCCCCAGTGAGCATGGCAGTGTGGAGGCAGCAGACCTCAGGCAGAGTCAGGATCTTGGGTTAAGTCAGTGCCCATGTTAGAAGTCACATGTTGTTAAAATTGTCCAAATCCCTTCATTTGCCCATACAAAATGAGACATTCCTAAGAGAGACCCCCAGACACAGACTGACAGAACAGCAGGTCTGCATCTTCCATCTCATGCTCACTCCTAGGTATGTGCTTGTTAGGTTGGATTTTGGGGTCATAGCCTGCACTAGTGAACCTCCTGTTCACTACCACTGAGTGACACAATGACACTGCTGAATAACTTGAGTGTGTAGTGGTTAAAGTACATCACACATCCTAGAGTAGGAAATCAGAGGTTTCCTACTCTTGGCTATGACTCTGGGCAACTACCTAAGACTCAGAAATGATGAGAGCATAGCAAAACCAGCTAATACTTATTGGGAATTTACTATGACCAGATATAAATGTAAAGATGGATTTCTCTTACTCCTCACAACAACTTTATTAGGTGGATGGCTATTATAATTACCATGTTACAGGGGGGAAAACGGTGATGATACTAGTCCATAGTCACATGGATGCTGGTGGACTTGGAGATCATGTATTTCTTCCTGTTTTCTATAGTGTTTACCTTGGGACTTCACATTTCACAGGTATTGAAAAAATGAATTTTGATAATAATAAAATGACGTTATATAGTTAGTGCTTCTTAGCTTATTACAAACATTGCCAAGAATTTCCCTCTTACCTCACTTGATCTTTGTAACAAGCAGATGAAGTAGGTAGCATGGGATTTTCATTCTCATTTTTGTGGATAGTTGATAATTATTTTCATTATAAATGTGAAAAAAGTTGTGAGAAAGTGGTATAATTCTCTTTTTTTAAAAAAACCAAATAAAAGGACAAACTATTCTGGAGTAGAACTAAGTCAAAATACTATAGTATTACATTCATGAATATGAAATAAACTATTAATATTCATGCCTAGTTTTGAGAATTTATTTTTGTTTCTTTTGCAGTGTCATACAAATTACATTCCTGTCTGTGGATCAAATGGGGACACTTACCAAAATGAATGCTTTCTCAGAAGGGCTGCTTGTAAGCACCAGAAAGAGATAACAGTAGTAGCAAGAGGCCCATGCTACTCTGGTATGTGTGGTATTTTTCTGAGCAAACTTTAGAAATGATTCCACCATGGTTTCTCAAAGGAAATTTCCAGTCAGAGGTGTATTCCCAGAACTGCTGTACGGGTTATTGTTTGGGGAGCTCTTTTTTGTCAGCATTTCATGTTGTTGCTTTTTAACCCCAGATGGTCGAATACTGTGTTGCATCCCGTACATTGTTAATGCTTGTTGCCATTTTCATGGGGACTTTGCATATCTTTTGCCTTATGGTTTAAATATTAGATAGAACAAGATTTGGCGTGAGAAATGATATGGGATCTGTTTTGTTGATTTTTATTTTCTTGGTGCAGGGGAGGGGTGGAGACTATCCATAGAAAGCCATTAGTGGCATCCCAGGATGTGTCTCTTTCCAAGCTTGTCTCTTTTTATATCTTCTCTCTTCTGTCTGCCAGTCTTTGTCACCTATCTTCCTCCAGTTTTTTTGTATTTCTTCCTTCTCTTTTCCTTCCTGAATCGGTAGTGATTATTTTTGGAAGGCGTGCATGTAAGTTTCTTACTTGGATTTGTATTTTGGGGCAGGGATGCAGGTGATGTATTGTAATTTGAATTACTGTATAAAGATTAGCAGTAAAGGTATAGACACTTCTTATATGATACAGTGTATTTTTTTACTTTCCCTTTATGTTACCGTACCTGTGTTCAGAATTTTTACTGGGGCTCCATTATATAAGCATGAACGATCCATTGTCTAAGTAGTTGATCTCCAACTCCAGGTCCGCTGGTACCACATGACTGAAAGTCCCCCTACTCTAAATTACATGGTTGGTCCTTGTGGCCTGACCAGCCTTCACCGTAGGACTGTTGTGTGTGGCCAACCCCACCTTAAGATCTGATGTGGTCAGTGCCCTCCCTAAACATGACACTTCAATCAGGTATGATATAGATTACCTTTCAGAAGCTGAGACAAAAACCAGACCTGTCTTTGGACAAAGACAAATTCATTTCCCTACACCAGATAATTAGGTGCTTGGTGAAATGATTGTGTTCTTGGGCCAATAGACTATTGTTTATTGTGATTCTTGTCTATTTCTCTAAGTACCTTGTGTTTCACAGACTTGGTTTAGAAACTAAAAAAGAATACAGAACCCTTTATAATCCCAAATTAGAAGCAGGATGGTAGATTGGAAAAAGCACTGCACAGCTATTTCTTGCTGTATGACCTTGGATAAGTCACTTAGACCCTCTGAGCCCCAGTTACTTAAACTGTTAAATGGATATCATCTCGGGATTGTTAAATGAGGATTGAATCAGCTAAGCTGTGAGTTGCTATATTGGTCTTGTTAGTTGCTCGGTGGGCCAGTGTTGTTCATCTCATTTGGTCTTTTTATTAGTCCTGGTCCCTGTGCTAGAAACAACGTTCTCTTTTGTTTACTTGAAATCTCCTGTCTTATGCTTTAAGGTTGAGCTTTACCCTTTTACCCTTTGCAGTTTTTCTTCCGTGGCATCTCCTGGCAGAGTTTGTTCATACTTTGTGCCTATCTCTCAGTATATATCCTAGCATTTCGTTTCTCTGACACATGTGTCTCCTGCCAGAGCAGTTGCTTCTCAGCAGGAAGGCAGTATGCCCTGCCTGGGGAGGTATAGCCTAGTCCCTGGGTAGGGGTGGAGTTGTGTGGATGGTGGAAGGCACATGTGCAATGAAAATATAATCTACAAGAAGAATTCAATCTCATTATCGGGGGAGTCACGATATTTAATTTTTTAAAGAATTTTTAAGGGCACTAAGGAAAGGGAAGGTATGGGTATGGTTTGAAAACTGGTTGGGCATGAGTATCTCATGCACTGGGGCTTCCTTATTTATCAGTTTATTCCTAGCATTTATCGTGTTGCCTAGCACTTAATATGTACCCAGTCAATGTATGTAGAATAGAAGGAAAAAGGGAGTGTTTTCCTAAGAAAAGTTTGGTCCTAAAACAATTTTAAATTGAGTTCCCTTCTTTCTTTTGTTTTTTTCCTGCTCTTCCAATCTTTCTTTTCCTCCTTATTTACTCAGATGTAATTGTTTATGGTCAATCAAAATTGAATACAATTTAAGACTTTATAAAATCCCATGAAGATTTTACAGTAGACATTATAAAAAATATGTATTTTTCTAGTTCCTCCTGTTTCTACCATGTTTTGGGAATTCGATCGTTATCTGAAGGAGATTAAAGGGGAAGGAGTGATATTATGAAGGGCATTATCTCCCATTCTGGGGAGCTCTGTGAAGAACTGAAGTGGGTTCTTAAGGATGTTTCTCCCCCATCCTCCCCGAAAGTGCTGGATAAAGTGTGTCAAGTACATCACTTGCCATCTCTGCTTTTTACTATATCATGCTGATGATACTATAGCATTACCCTCTTTGTAACATGCTCTACACCATATGTTGGCCTTTTAAGGATTTATAAAATAAATATTTCATATTAATTACATTTTAGGCTGACTTCTTGCTGGTAATATTGAGGGAGGCTCTTTAATTTCATTAGTGATGAGTGTCTCACCTACACCTTGGTGAGAGTGCTTCTGGTTAAGTTTCCTAGACGAAGCTCATTTTAGCAGTAATTTGAAAACCTCAGCTCTGAAGTTCTTCCCTTTTAAGCCTTGAGGCTTTTTCTTACCTTTTGGCTTTTGGCCTTTGTCCACAGATTTCATTAAGATTTTTGGAGCAAGACCCAAAGCTCTTTTCCTCCCATTCTGATAAAAGTAGTTTATTCATTATTCCTCTCAAGCTTTAACGAAATTAATTTTTTTTTCCTTTTAAGTGAGTTAATTAAAATTACTTTTATCTAGCCATTTACTTTATAGTGTTTGTTGGCCTTTACTTGTGCAAGGCACCTGCATATTTCCTAAATGGGCTACAACAGATGTATGAGGTATAGATGATCGTGTGTCCAAGGAATTTCTATTTGGAGAAAGACATGGAATAGGTATATAGGAACAGTTTAGTTCCATATTAAAAAAAAAATAACAGAAAGGCTACATGAGAATTCCTATTACAGTTTGATTTCTTTAAAAGATTTATTTATTTATTTTAGAGAGCAAGAGAGCGAGTGAGCGCCCAAACATGTGTGAGTGGGGGTTTCGGGGAGAGGCAGATTGGGGGAGAGGGAGAATCTCAAGCAGACTCCCTAATGAGCATGGTGCCCAATGCAGGGCTCGATCTCACAACCCTGAGATCGTGACCTGAGCTGAAACCAAGAGTCAGAGGCTCAACTGACTGAGCCACCCACGCACCCCATCACAGTTTGATTTTTGATAGGAAATTTTACCATTGCATAAGATGAAATTTCCAGCAAAAATATTTCTATTCACTGTTTGTTTTTATTCTCAGATAATGGCTCTGGATCTGGAGAAGGAGGTAAGTTTCAAGTACCTCTTAAAGGACGTTTGTTTTCTGTCATTTTCTGTTTTGAACAGCTTTATTGAGGTAAAATTCCCATACTATACAGTTCACTCATTTAAATGTACAGTACAGTGGCTTTTGGTACATAGAGTTATGCATTCATCACCGCAATCAATTTTAGAACATTTTCATTACTCCAGAAAGAAACTCTTAGCCATCACTCGCAACCCTAGGCACTTTGTATTATGTGGTTATTTTCGCTAAAGTTTTGTTGACACAAAAAGCGGAAATGTAACTCCTGTTAAAATTGAGATTGCACCAAAGTGCCTTCTCCTTGGGATCATCCCCACAGGTGATTTTGGGTTGCACCAGAGTATTGGTGAATCTCTCACCCCTTGCTTACAAATTTTTGCTCTTAAGGAATTTTTAAGCTTCAGGATTATAAAACTCTCGAACGAGTTGTGCATTGCAAAGAGAAGGCTTGCAGAATAACTGTAGTAGAATCTGTGTTTTGAAATTTTATTTTACAGATATATAAATCACTTCTGTTTAAGAAGGAACATCTGGTAATAGCATTTAACAAGAGTTTACTCTAAATTATCAGAATTAAGAATGATTAATTTATGTCAACTCTAATGAAACTGTCATACTTAGTATCCATGGTATGCAAAATAATGCTGGAGGTACTGTGGAGATCCACTCAAAGAAAACTTACTCTAGTAAAATTCACACTTAAACAGATGAAAATTAAAATTGTGATCCTTTCGATACTATCGAAACCTTACTTCAGACTTCCACATTTCATAGAATCCTAAAATGTCAGAGTTGGAAGACACTTCAAAGGTCACTTTAGGGAATAGAAGAAATGGGATGACAGTTTCAGAGGGGAAAAATAATTAAAGCTATATCCCATAATAAGATGTGATTTAAATAGACATGTTCAAGCAGAGGCTTCATGATCACTTCTGAAGGACCATCAGGCCATCAATTCTAGACCTGAGAGCTGGAAAGGATTTTAAGAGAGATCATGTTAGTATAATCTCTGTGGTCAGATATTCAGTAAGGAAATTGTTCTTATACTAAAGAAGTGGAAGTTTTGTGTATGTCAAGGTTTGTGTCAAGATTTGTGTAAATAGTGTAAATACTGGATGTCTTGCTCCGAGGATATAAGGTGGACAATTTCTCTTTAGGGAGTATGAGTTTAGAAAGGCCAACTGCTTTGTTCAGATTAGTACATAAACTTAAGGGAGCTCGGGGTGTCCATACCAAAGCCTCAGAAATACATAGGATTCCCTGGAATCGGGGAGTGTTCATAAGAATTTGGGGCAAGATTTCTACTTAAAGTGTAGGCAGACACTAAAAAATGGAAAGTTTGGGAGTATTACCAAACTGAGACATTTTAGATTTATGGATTTTTCCTTTTTTTTTTTTTTTAAAGATTTTATTTATTTATTTGACAGAGAGAGGTCACAAGTAGATGGAGAGGCAGGCAGAGAGAAAGAGAGAGAGAGAGGGAAGCAGGCTCCCTGCTGAGCAGAGAGCCCGATGCGGGATTCGATCCCAGGACTCTGAGATCATGACCTGAGCCGAAGGCAGCGGCTTAACCCACTGAGCCACCCAGGCACCCCAAGGATTTTTCCTTTTTCTATCTTCTTTACTAATTGACACCCCCTGAATAAGGTGTTCTTTTCCAAACCAGAATGGGAGATCCCTTGAGAAAGCTGAATCCCTAAATTGCTCTCAGAACAGAGCTCCCTGCCCAGTTTGAAACGATCAGGGTAGGATCCATTCTAGATGAGCCCCACAAATGTAGAAGCCCTTAAATGTGGGATAGGAGTTGGGGACTTAGAGGTATGCACGGTTTTTTGTGCTGGATCGTAGGAGACCCACACACTTCTGTATTCTGGGTACTTATGGCTGTGCTAAGTGGCAAAGTAGGAAAAGAGGCAAGTCTTTCATAAGGAGAGCCCTTTCCTTTCACAGATTTGGAGATAAATATATATATATATATTTTATCCTGGAATTAGTTGTTAATAGAGTAAGAAAGGCAGGTTTGAAACTGATGTGAAGAAGTGGTTATACTCTATTGCATTTAATCATTTATTTGCTGACCAGCATCATACACACTATTTCAGTAGGGTAATCACTGGACCAAATTTATTACCCATGTTTTATTTTCTCTTTCTTATTTAATGTTATGTGATAATTCTTCTAAAGGAAATTGTCAAAACCTATATTGTACCTTTGTACATAGGTTAAGGGATTGTTTTGCTAGTACCAATACTTATTTTCCTCATAGATTATCTTGTACTCTGTATTGGCAACATTTTTGGGCCCAAGCATTGATAGATTTTGGAAGTAATTATTTTCAAGAGCTCAGGTATATTTTCCTTAGAAATAGGATAATGGCTGCTGAAAACGTGAAGCTTATCTGGAAAGGAACCCAACTTTTGCTTGAAAATTTAATTTTTCTTTTTAAACAGAAGAGGAGGGATCAGGGGCAGAAGTTCACAGAAAACACTCCAAGTGTGGACCTTGCAAATATAAAGCTGAGTGTGATGAAGATGCAGAAAATGTTGGGTGAGTTGATTTAGGGAAAGGGATGCATTTTCTTGGAAGCTAATCATCAGCACTATTATATTGTAGAGAGGGATCTTTTAACCCGATTCTAGGTATTTTGTATGTGCCTTCTATATTTTTTTGTTTAACGGTGTTTGTATTAATTTTTCTCTTATGTTAATATAATATCATAGCTATTTAAGTTAAAGTATTGTATTTTAGAATGAGAATCCATGTATAATTTTTTTAGGTTTACCTCTCCCTTTATTTTTATTGACAGTTTTATATATTTTATCCTAAGTGCCAATTTTATGCCTCAAAAATACTTTTATTCTGAATTCTTCTACCATTATACTTTCTACTAGTATTAATAAGTTTCTCGTTTTCTTAACTTGCATTTTTATGTAAAAACTTTGCACGTATTTCCATGTAAGGAAAATCCAGAATTTGAGATACAGTAATTATTATGTAATGAGTAAAATATTTTTAGAAATCCCATTTGCACAGGCTGACCTGTTGTTGTTTTATTTTCTCACTCATATTCAGCCTTCAGTAAGGTGGGTTTTGTAGCTGGGCAGCATTGTCTGTCCAATTTTCACACAGTATGGGGTGAAGAGCAACAATACTGGCATCATTGGCACAGTATGTTTGTTTCTTCCTGTTTATTTATTCCCATTCTCAACCTCTCATTTCCCCGCGGTGTTTGCTTTTTGCATAGTTGATTCTAAAAGCTTTAATGCTGACTTCAGGACATTATAGCCCAAATGGATCTTCACATCCCTATTTCCTCTTAGTGGATAGTTTAAAACACTTATTTTATAGAGATTTGTACTTTCTTCCTTGCTCACACATATATTCACTCTGTGTTTTCTGGTCCCAGGTTTTATTCAGCCCTCAAATACATATTTAGGTCTTTCACTAAATAGTAGTAATATGGTGTAATTAGCATTAATGCCCATAGGGAGTTTTGAAAATCAGGATCGCAACTTTTTCAGGATTATGGTTCAAAATTGGCTGTTTGGGTGGTATATGGTAAAATTAATGTCTGATAATTTCCTTGATATATTTTAAAGGTGGTGAGAATTGGCACAAGACAAGTTTAGTAAAAAGTGAATTTAGCAAAACTTGAGTTTGCTCTATTTCTACATGTTGGTCACTTGGGTTGACATGTGTCCATCCATTTCAGTCAGAGTGATTTGATTGGGAAGTACATGTTTTCCAAAGTAGATGTGGGTCTGCAGAACACGAAAGAAATGATGAGTGATATGGACTTGCAGAGAGAACAGACAAGAGATGTTATGTGCTCCTCCTCTTGCTTTGTGCTAATGGTATGGCATGATGAAGTACTGGGTGTGTGTGTGTCTACTTTTGTAGAGATTTAGTTCTTTTTAGTGTTTTTGTTCAGGACTGTTCTATAAAGGTGTTCAGAGTCAAAATAGTTGTCAGTGATTGATTGATTGGCTTGGTCTGTTGATCTGTTTTTATTCCTTTGATGGTAGCTCTCTCCAGTCCTGTTTTAGACATTTCTCTGCTCTCATTTTTCATCCCTCAATTGAAAGAGATAGAGATCTTCTGCTTGGAAGTAGAACAGTTTCCATCTAGTCTCAGAGGCAGCCTCACATATGACATCTCTATAGTAGAATATCCATCTTTCCAGGAACACCACCTCATAATATAATATGTACCCTATGCCCAGTCAGAGTAACTCTCTTGCAGGTATGAAATTCATTTTGTGCATCTGTTTGAGGACCTGCAACCAACGTTTTGCAGATAACAGGCTTTAAGCATAAGGAAGTGGGCACAGACCAGGGAAGAACTTACCAGTAGAAAGGAGCATGCAGGCTGAGGAGCCAGCCAGGGAACATGAAGACTGGGACAGGCCGCCAAGTCCAGGCCAGGAAATTGGTGCAATAATGGGAAAACATTAAGGAAGCAGTTGGTACCTTTACCTAAATTTACGTAAGTGATTAAGCTAAAATGGCTAATCCTACAATGGAAGAAGACAGAAGGATATTTTAGGACATTAATCTTTTATGTATAGAACACTTAATACTGATTGTAGTGAGTTTAACAATTGAGCATACCTCAGTGGCTATTGTATTTTTTTTTTTTTTTAACTTTTAAGTGGGCCGTGGTACCGAGGAAATTATTTATTTATGTATTGTATGTATGTATGTATGTATGTATTTGACAGAGATCACAAGTAGGCAGAGAGGCAGGCAGAGAGAGAGAGGAAGGGAAGCAGGCTCCCTGCTGAGCAGAGAGCCCAATGCGGGGCTCGATCCTAGGACCCTGGGATCATGACCTGAGCCGAAAGCAGAGGCTTTAACCCACTGAGCCACCCAGTCACCCCCAGAATTGACTTCTTTATCCACTAGTGATTATTACCTATAGTTTGAAAAATATTCTTTGATACTATAATTGATATTATATTTCATGTTATCTTTTAGGTATGGATATTCATTTAAAAATATTTTTTCTCATTTTGAAATGTGTTTTCTATTAGAAGAAATGCTTATACCCTATCTGGTTTCCTAGGGCAGCTAAAATCTCTTGCTTTAAAGCTCTCTCTTTTTTTTTTCTACTAGTTTAGAAAACAACCCTGGCATTTTGTGGGATCAGTGGTATCATGTAACTTAATTCTTTGCTTAATAAGAGAAGTGCTAATTTTTTATTTAGCCATTTAAATGGAAATTTATTTAAATATATTGTCTTAGTGTTTCATATTGTATAGTGTGTTAGATTTTTCAGCTATTGTTACATAAATTGTTTTTTCAGCTCTTTAGGGCAGTTGTGTCTGGTGGCAAGAAGTATTATCCTGATTTTACAAGTGAAGCTGGTCTCAGAAGAGGCGAATGGCTTGCAGTTGCCCAGAACACAGGTCCAACGACAAGGGATTTTTCTAATGCGTACTCCCTGATGTTCTCAACGGTGGTTGCTTCGTCCCTGAGCTTATGGCTGCATTCTGCTTTGTGTTTTGGGTTCTTTGAAAATAATTTTTCTTCTCCCACCTCAGGTTCTTAGCTGCTGCTTCTGAGTACTGTTAAGGTGCTTTGACAATGAACCTGAGTATAGATGACCCCAGCTTTTAAGTTTGCTTCTCTTCTTTCCCAGAATAGGAGATAATAGACCTATAGGAACGGTGTCTAATGTAGGAATAAATTCTAAATGTAAAAGAGTAAATAGGTTCTTCTGAGTGAAGTGTATGGACTTTATTAATAAATAAAGCATGTATTTTATCTCTTGTTTGCTCAGTGGCTAATTTATTTATAATTTAAATTAGTTTTAGCTTCTGAAAGGCTTTTTTCCCCCTCTTCTTTCCTGAAGCAGCACATTGTGCCTCTCCAGTGACACTCTGGTGTTCACATGGGTTAGTGATAGCTATCTTCATTGATGCTTCCCTTTTGAATTTATACCTGGAGCTAGGTTGTGAGGTTCCAAGAAATTTGACAACCCCCCCCCCCCCGCGCCCCAGATGAGGTTTTGGTTTTCCGTTGTGACTATTGAAGTACAGTGGATGGACTTTCTGCTTAGTGTTTTTTGGGGGGACAGAGGGGGCGTTTGACAGAACTTTATTTCTCATTCCCGTAAAGTCTGTCACAGTACTGTGGAAGTCTGCAGAACAGCTGCTCTCCTTGTGGGGGGCTCAGCATTCCAAACCGCTTTGAGTTTCTGGCCTCCTAGAATGGAGGCAGGAAGAGCCTCAGAGTCTTGTACCAACAAATAAAGGCTTCAGCCCAGATCTGCTTAGTCTTAAAACTTGGAAACAGCTCCTGCTTTACAGCATGTTATATTTCTTGAACCATATGTTTGTAGCAACCCCTCCTTTTCTAAATAGCATTTCTAATCTGGCCAAAGGTGAAGTGACTGCTGCAGGATGGCCATTAGTTGTTTGTCTGGACAGTGGAGCCAGATAATCCTAAAACTCCTTCACATCAGTACCTTTATAGTCCTGACCTAAGTCTCTACCCACGAATGGTTTGAGATTTGGTAGAATCATCAGGCATAATGTCAATACAGGTGAGTTATAAAAGTCCTTGAATTACTTCTTTTGAACTTCATGTGTGATACCCTTTGTGGAAATAGTCCCTGCTCTCCTGCCTTTTTGATGTCAATCTTTTTGGAGATGCTCTTTCTCTGAGTGATGGGAGATTTCAGAGTTGCTCAGAGAATCATTGTAGGTATGCAGTGTGACAGACAACATTGATAAACAGTTAATCTACCTGCTTAGACATCTTTGTCCATCGTGGGACCATTTTCTGTTTGACACAGATGGCTGGTCAGTGTCACAGTCTGATGAGTCTCTCTCAGTAGGTGCAAGGAAATCTTTTTTCTGGTTTAAGCCAAGAGAGTGATGCTATACATGTGTGTCCTCCATTATGTTCTCCTTTCTGGATGCCACATAGACTTTTTAAAAAAAGAACCAAAGAAGTTCCTCTCCTTCCATTATCTATTCTTTATTTCTTCCTAATCAGAGATGACAGTAATTTTTTGTCATTTAACATCGCCCTTCTCTGGGTATATAGAATACAGACTTCTAAAACTATTTAGGTTTAATAAATTTGTATGCCGGCCCCTTAGATTATAATGGAAAAATAATTATAGGTTGTTCTTTTTCTTCTGATAACTGAAAACAACACTATTAAATATTAGTTTGTACATAGTAAGCTGGGTGTTAGCAATAGCAGGCTCCTCATCCAGAAATACTTTCCTACTACAGTACAGAGCCTTCCTGCTACTACTCAACACTACACAGCTGTCAGTAAAGGTTTCCTTTGAGAGGTCTGTTTTTAAAATGCAGAACACCATATCCCCATAACCTTTTGCAGGTTTCTGAATAATGTGCTACTCTTTGATAGTTTGCCTCTCATTCCCTCTGCCTGGAGTCCCATCTCTATTTATCTATCTAATTCCTACTCTTCCTTCTCGACTTGGATGAGGTGTGACTCAGGTCACAAGTCAGTGCCTCTTCCCAGAAGCCTCCCTTGCTGTCCTCCACAATCCCTATGAGTTAGGTGACC